AATCTGACTTTTTTGACTATTGTCTGAATAATTTAACCTTTGACTTTTCTAATTATGTTGGCAGGCAATGGAAAAGTAGGCCATGTAAATCAAGCAAATAACATGTACCTCTTTCCGGGGTTAGTTTCCTGTATCTTCTTTATTTCAAGTAACTATGTTTAAAGCTCGAAATATTAATACCGTATTTTGGTTGCCTCTAAATGCAGGATTGGTTTAGGTGCACTTCTCGCAGGTGCTCGTCTTATATCGGATGGCATGTTACAAGCAGCTTCTGAATGGTAATAACATAAGACTTGGCTACTTCCTTGCTCTAACCTAAACATGGTAAAATAACCATGCTGATGAGACATAATTTACAGTGTTATTAAAAAGAAAAAAAGGAAACAGAGTTGACACCTAAAAAAGAGTTGGGCTGTTTTTCCTTACTTTGGTATCAGCCTAGAAATTATTGTAGTGATTAGCTGACAGTTCTGGTAAGTGTCACTACAATAAGAATTGCTAAAGGTGAACATGGCTTGAAGTTTGAAATTAATTTCTGACACAATCATTCTGTCCAGCCTTGCTTCATATATAACAGATGAAGATATCCGAAAGGGCATCTTGTATCCATCTATTCACAGGTAATATTCTCAGCTCCTCGCAGCATTAAGAGCTCGTCTTTATCAAAAATGGCATCGCAATTCTCAACCCCTGACTGTTTCTATTGTATATGGTGCAGTATCCGACATCTAACAGTGGAGGTTGGAGCTGCTGTCCTGCGGGCAGCTGTTGCAGAAGAACTGGCCGAAGGACATTGTGATGTGGGGCCCAAAGAGCTCATGAACATGTCAAAAGTAAGAACTGATATTCAATCTTCCTTCCACAAAATACAAAAGCTCTTTTTAAAACACTCACAAAATGTCTAAGCGAATTTTGATTTAGAAAGCAAGCTCTAAATGTTAGACTACTTTTGCAAAAGGTCTGAACATGCCAAAGAGGACATATTTAGGTGAAGGCGTATACATATAGAAAATGCTATTCTAATAAGCATCTAGTCGAACAACCATAACCAAGAACCTTGAAAATTGCTTAGCTAGCTTTTGCTTATATTGCCAGAGTTTTAGAAGAAAAATTGTAATTTTCCTGAAATCTATTTTGGTTTTTATCTTCCTGTTGCAGGAGGAGACTCTGGAATATGTGACTCGCAACATGTGGTTTCTTGTTTATAGCCCTCTTGTTCATGAAAAATGAGGCTTGGTTTTGTATTATCATACACAGTAGGCTGTCGTTGGAGGCTATATTTTTTTTGCAGCTCATATATCAATAGGTCTGCAGCTAAGCAACTTATTCTTGGTCTGTCTTTCCTGGATTCATAGTTTACAAGCTCAGAGAAGTAGAAGGCAAAGAAGGGAACAGAAATAAGGCCCTCTTACTAGACTGAAAAGAAAGTTGAAACCCATTTGTTTGAACAATGCATAATTACGTGACTAATATTAGTGCAATATCTTTGTGTTAACTTTCTTTTACGTTAACTTAATAACAAAGCAAACTGCACCCAAAAAAAAAGGTTCAGTTGACTTGACCTTCCCCTTTGGTTTTGGGCCAAAGGACTTAGCCGTCCTGGGGTGCCTACTACTCGTTTCTATGAACGCCGAGAGTCTTGGGTAAGGCAGCCACATGTCAAATTACACTCACAGAAAGTTAAGACCTACATTCAGAGGATCTCGCCCTTATTTGAGTGTGCTACCAGTGCGGCGGTCCTATCTAAGATTTTTTCCTATCAGTGTGTGTATTTTAAATCTAGTGGGGATGAAAAAGTAAGGGAGAAAAGGACAGAAAAGGTCGTGTGTATGTAAGATTTGTTTCTTATGGAATAAGTTGATCCATGTTTCTATAGGATATTATTATTTACGTTATTAGTCAATTAGAGTAGTAAAATCCACCAGTCTTTGCATGCGAAACTGCTTACTCTGACCTGCAACAGCCTTCACCAAAATTCTCCAACAACGTGGGTACTTGCGTCACCACGCCCCCATTCTTTTCCTTGAAAATCTTAATAAAAAAATCCAAACAAATCTTGGTCCCTCTTTCACCACAATTATCAATTACTTCTAAGAAAACACTAGGAACAAAAGAATCAACAATTTTCTTCTTCTTATTATTTATTTGAATATGAACCTCAAAATTCAAAGGCTTTCCAAGAACATTTCACTATAAAAGAAAAGAAGGCTCTCCTTCTGTTTAATACACATCTCAATTCTCACAGGCCGTCCCGTTTCGAATCTATCAATGGCAGAAGCAACAAAGAGGTAGCACTTTAGACTTCTTTATGCTTTGTTTCCTTGTCCGATTTCCAATCCCTTTAATTGTTTTTGTTTCTATGAAATTGGTGTTTGTGTTTTTTCAGGTATGCAGTTGTTACTGGGGCAAACAAAGGCATAGGATTGGAAACTGTGAGGCAATTGGCCTCAAATGGATTCACTGTAGTTTTAACTGCCAGAGATGAGAAAAGGGGTCTTGAAGCTGCTGAGAAACTCAAAGAGTCTGGCCTCTCAGGTCAAGTGGTTTTTCATCAACTTGATGTGGCTAACCCTGCTACTGTTGCTTCTTTGGCAGACTTTATCAAAACCCAGTTTGGGAAACTCGATATCTTGGTATGTATATGATCATAGCTGCTGGTTTCTTGAAAAAGTTTGTCTTTTGAATTGAACTCTTAATCCGAACGCGATTTGATAGAAGGAGATGAAACATGGAATATAGAAAATGAAATTGGAGAATAAAAAGAGCAAACCAAGTAATAACTAGCTAATAATATCATCAAGAAGTTAATCTTTGAAATGATTAGAAGTCTTAGGCTTTTTGAAGAACAAAACAAGATTCACGTAACTACCAGTTGTGGAAGATTTTACTTTCAAATCTAACTCTATGTCTGCCACTCTGTTTTTGTTTCTCGGAATCTTTTCATATATGATATGATCCCTTTCTGTACAATTTAGAAAGATCAGTGGCTGGAATTAAGGGGTTTGGCAAAGTAGCATAATTATTGTGCTTCTTTAAAGGCATTGGCCTTTATGGTTGGTATGGTTGTAAAAACAAAGAGATTGTCAGAGTACTAAAAACAAGTGGAAATCTAAACAAAGAGTCGTGGTTTAGATTTGAGGTGGTTTGGTCAAGACAAATTAGAGAGCTTGGAGAACAAGTGGAGAAAAATCAGAGTTGCTGAATCCACTTTTCGCTTACTGCAAGCCAAGTTTGATGCAAAGTTGCATCAAATAGCGCTACATGCTTACAACTTCTTTGATTATTAGTCTGCATTTTTTTTCCTTAAGCTTTTATTTTGGTTATTAGAATGTGTTTTTGAATATTCAGTCTATTGTCTGGGAGTTTTCATGGTTCATACATACATTTAGGTTTTATACCTATTTGATGAGTCCTTTTGAATGAGGAATATATGTATGTTGGTATAATTAAAGTTCGCAGTCAGTAGAATTATTATTCATGACGCCTTAGAATCAGAGGATCTATCAACTTTCTTTTCATTTCATTTTCTATAAAAAAAAACAATCTGTTCTTTTCTTTGCTAAAAGAAAACAGAAAGTGAAACAGTTGGACTCTGCACAGGTGAACAATGCAGGGATTTTTGGAAGCATATTAGATGGTGATGCTTTTAAAGCTGTAATAGCCTCTGGTGCCACGGTAAGTCTTTTGCATAATTTTTATCAATAGCTAGCTATCAAAAACTAAAAAAAGCTTCAATGTATGTGCCAAAGTGAGAATTTAAACTTCAGACCCAAAAAAAAAAAAAGTGAGAATTTAAACTGATCTGTGGTTTGGCAAACTTTAATCAACATTTTTCTTGTTTGGAGTGTTGTGTAAGTGGTGGGCAATAGGCACCATAATAATAAATTTGTTTTTGCTGATACAGGAAAGAGGAGAAGTTGATTTGAATAAACTAGTGACTGATACTTATGAGTTAACAGAAGAATGCTTGCAAATAAACTATTATGGTGCTAAAAGAACAGCTGAAGCACTTATCCCACTCCTCCAGTTATCTGACTCACCCAGAATTGTTAATGTTTCGTCTGGCTTGGGGATGTTAAACAACATACCAAGCGGTTGGGCTAGAGGAGTTTTTACTGATGCCGAAAACCTAACAGAAGAGAGAGTAGATGAGGTACTGACTGAGTTTCTAAAAGATTTCAAGGAGGGTTCATTTGAAAGTAAGGGCTGGCCTTCTTCTATGCCTGCCTATACAGTCTCAAAAGCAGCACTGAACGCATATACAAGGATTCTAGCAAAGAAGTACCCCAATTTTCGTATCAATTCGGTCTGCCCTGGCTTTGTCAAAACAGATATGAACTTGAATGCCGGCCTCTTGCCTGTCGAAGAAGGTGGTGCCAAGGTTGTGAAGTTTGCATTGCTGCCCAATGATGGCCCTACTGGCTCCTTCTTTGTTCACAATGAAGTGTCAGATCTTTGATTAAAGATGATCCATTTATTCAAATTTAATAGGAGTCACTTATTGGGCAATATCTTGTACTGTAAGGTAATTTTAAGTATTTTGGTATGTATATAGATTGAAGGATCTAGTGCGTTGTTTACATTTCTACTATTCATCTGGCTCTTGGACTCATATTATCATTTAAAATGTTATTCAGTCAGAAATTCTATGTGATTGATGTCCGGTATTATCGATTGTATTTCAATAACATTTCGGTATATTTTGTTAGACATAAATCAGAGACAATAATATTGACAGTCCATCATTTAATTAAGGACTAAGTGTAGAGAAGAATTGATTATTCAATATTATCCAACTTAAATTGTAATAGCACAATCGCAAACTTCTGCAGTCAATTGTGTAAACGAAGGCATATAATCCAAACAAATCTTGGTCCCTCTTTCACCACAATATCCACTTACTGCTAGAAAACATTAGAAGCATCCTCCCTCCAGTATGTATATAGGAACAAAAGAACCAACAACTTTCATCTTCTTCTTATTATTTATCTTAATATAATCCCCAGAATTCAAAGGCTTTTCAAGAACATTTCACTATAAAAGAAAAGAAGGCTCTTGCAGTTTAATACACATCTCCAAAGTCTTCCTTCTCCCAACATCATCATTTTCCTTTTGACTATCATTTTCTTATTTTCTTTGTGTAGGTTCCATCTACATCCTTTACAACAGAATCAACAATTTTCTTCTTATTATTTATTTGAATATGAACCTCAAAATTCAAAGGCTTTCCAAGAACATTTCACTATAAAAGAAAAGAAGGCTCTCCTTCTGTTTGATACACATCTCAATTCTCACAGGCCGTCCCGTTTCGAATCTATCAATGGCAGAAGCAACAAAGAGGTAGCACTTTAGACTTCTTTATGCTTTGTTTCCTTGTCCGATTTCCAATCCCTTTAATTGTTTTTGTTTCTATGAATTTGGTGTTTGTGTTTTCTTAGGTATGCAGTTGTTACTGGAGCAAACAAAGGCATGGGATTGGAAACTGTCAGGCAGTTGGCCTCAAAGGGGTTCACCGTAGTCTTAACTGCCCGAGATGAGAAGAGGGGTCTTGAAGCTGTTGAGAAACTCAAAGAGTCTGGCCTCTCTGGTCAAGTGGTTTTTCATCAACTTGATGTAGCTAACCCTGCTACTGTTGCTTCCTTGGCAGACTTCATCAAAACCCAGTTTGGGAAACTCGATATCTTGGTATGTATATGATCATAGCTGCAGGTTTCTTGAAAAAGTTATACGTCTTTTGAATTTAACTCTTAATCCGAACGCGATTTAATTGAAGGAGATGAAATATGGAATCATGTAGAAAATGAAATTGGAGAATAAAAATAACAAACCAAGTAATAACTAGCGTAATAATATCATCAACAAGTTAATCTTTGAAATAATTAGAAGTCTTAGGCTTTTTGAAGAACAAAACAAGTTTCACATAACTACCAATTGTGGAAGATTTTACTTTCAAATCCCTTTCTGTATAATTTACAAGTATCCTAGAAAGATCAGTGGCTGGAATTAAGGGGTTTGGAAAAGTAGCATAATTATTGTGCTTCTTTAAAGGCATTGGCCTTTATGGTTGGTATGGTTGTAAAAACAAAGAGATTGTCAGAGTACTCAGGGGATCTATCAACTTTCATTTCATATCATTTTCTATAAAAAAATAAATCTGTTCTTTTCTTTACTAAAAGAAAACAGAAAGTGAAACAGTTGGACTCTGCACAGGTGAACAATGCAGGGATTTTTGGAAGCATATTAGATGGTGATGCTTTTAAAGCTGCAATAGCCTCTGGTGCCGCAGTAAGTCTTTTGCATAATTATTATCAATAGCTAGCTATCAAAAACTAAAAAAAGCTTCAATGTATGTGCCAAAGTGAGAATTTAAACTGATCTGTGGTTTGGCAAACTTTAATCAACATTTTTCTTGTTTGGAGTGTTGTGTAAGTGGTGGGCAATAGGCACCATAATAATAAGTTTGTTTTGGCTGATACAGGAAAGAGGAGAAGTTGATTTGAGTAAACTAGTGACTGAAACTTATGAGTTCGCAGAAGAATGCTTGCAAATAAACTATTATGGTGCTAAAAGAACAGCTGAAGCACTTATCCCACTCCTCCAGTTATCTGACTCACCGAGAATTGTTAATGTTTCGTCTGGCGCGGGGAAGTTAAAAAACATACCAAACGATTGGGCTAAAGGAGTTTTTACTGATGCCGAAAACCTAACGGAAGAGAGAGTAGATGAGGTACTGACTGAGCTTCTAAAAGATTTCAAGGAGGGTTCACTTGAAAGTAAGGGCTGGCCCTCTATGCCTGCCTATATAGTCTCAAAAGCAGCACTGAACGCATATACAAGGATTCTAGCAAAGAAGTACCTCAATTTTCGTATCAATTCGGTCTGCCCTGGCTTTGTCAAAACAGATATGAACTGCAATGTCGGCGTCTTGCCTGTTGAAGAAGGTGGTGCCAGGGTTGTGAAGTTTGCATTGCTGCCTAATGATGGCCCTACTGGCTCCTTCTTTGTTCACAATGAAGTGTCAGATTTTTGATTGAAGATGATCCATTTATGCAAATTTAATACAAGTCATTTATTGGGCAACATCTGGTACTGTAATGTAATTTTAAGTATTTTGGTATGTATATTGATTGAAGGATCTAGTGCGTTGTTTACATTTCTACTATTCATCTGGCTTTTGGACTCATATTATCATTTACAATGTTATTTAGTCAGAAATTCTATGTGATTGATGTCCGGTATTATCGATAGTATTTCAATAACATTTCGGTATATTTTGTTAGACATAAATCAGAGAATAAGTGTAGAGAAGAATTGATTATTCAATATTATCCAACTTAAATTGTAATAGCACAATAGCAAACTTCTGCAGTCAATTGTGTAAACGAGGGCATAGGATTGGAAACTGTCAGGCAGTTGGCCTCAAAAGGATTCACTGTAGTCTTAACTGCCAGAGATGAGAAGAGGGGTCTTGAAGTTGTTTGGGAAACTCTAAGAGTCTGGCCTCTCTGGTCAAGTGGTTTTTCATCAACTTGATGTAGCTAACCCTGCTACTGTTGCTTCCTTGGCAGACTTCATCAAAACCCAGTTTGGGAAACTTGATATCTTGGTATGTATATGATCATAGCTGCTGGTTTCTTGAAAAAAGTTTCTGTCTTTTGAATCTAACTTGTAATCCAAATGCGATTTAGTTGAGGGAAATGAAATATGGCATTGGAGAATTAAAATAGCAAACCAAGTAATAACTAGCTTAATAATATCATCAAGAAGTTAATCTTTGAAATAATTAGAAGTCCTAGGCTTTTTGAAGAACAAAACAAGTTTCACATAACTACGAGTTGTGGAAGGTTTTACTTCCAAATCCAACTCTATGTCTGCCACTCTGTTTTTGTTTCTTGGAATCTTTTCATATATGATATAATCCCTTTCTGTACAATTTACAAGTACCCTAGAAAGATCAGTGGCTGGAGTTGAGGGGTTTGGCAAAGTAGCATAATTATTGTGCTTCTTGAAAGGCATTGGCCTTTATGGTTGGTAATAGTATGGTTGTAACAACAAAGAGATTGTCAGAGTAACCAGAGGATCTATCAACTTTCTTTTCATTTCATTTTCTACAAAAAAATGTCTGTTCTTTTCTTTGCTAAAAGAAAACAGATAGTGAAACAGTTGGACTCTGCACAGGTGAACAATGCAGGGATTGGTGGAAGCATAGTAGATGGTGATGCTTTAAAAGCTGCTGTAACCTCTGGTGCCATGGTAAGTTTTTTGCATAATTTTTATCAATAGCCATCAAAAACTAAAAGCTTCAATTAATGTGACAAAGTGAGAATGTAAACTGATCTGTTGTTTGGCAAACTTTAATCAACATTTTTCTTGTTTGGGGTGTGTGTAAGTGGTGGGCAATAGGCACCATAATAATAAGTTTGATTTTACTGATACAGGAAAGAGGAGAAGTTGATTTGAGTAAACTAATGACTGACACTTATGAGTTAACAGAAGAATGCTTGCAAATGAATTATGGTGCTAAAAGAACAGCTGAAGCACTTATCCCACTCCTCCAGTTATCTGACTCACCCAGAATTGTTAATGTTTCGTCTTCCATGGGGAAGTTAAAGAAGATACCAAGCGATTGGGCTAGAGGAGTTTTTACTGATGCCGAAAACCTAACAGAAGAGAGAGTAGATGAGGTACTGACCGAGCTTCTAAAAGACTTCAAGGAGGGTTCACTTGAAAGGAAGGGCTGGCCTTCTTCTATGCCTGCCTATACAGTCTCAAAAGCAGCACTGAACGCATATACAAGGATTCTAGCAAAGAAGTACCTCAATTTTCGTATCAATTCGGTCTGCCCTGGCTTTGTCAAAACAGATATAAACTTCAATGCTGGCTTCTTGCCTGTCGAAGAAGGTGGTACCAGGGTTGTGAAGTTAGCATTGCTGCCCAATGATGGCCCTACTGGCTCCTTCTTCGTTCACAATGAAGTGTCGGATCTTTGATTGAAGAAGATCCATTTATGCAAATTTAATACGATTCGCTTATTGGGCAACATCTTGTACTGTAATGTAATTTTAAGTATTTTGGACACCAACAGATCCTTTTGACGTTCTTTCTACATTCAATAAGAGGATGGCATATATGATGTTTTATCTATGTAAAATTTCACTAAAGCACACTGTTTAAATAACAAAAGAAAAGGTCAGGTGTTTCTGTCCTAACCGGAAGCTCCCAGCTGACTTGATGACCTTCCCCTTTGGTGTTAGGGGAAAGACTTAGCTGTCCTAGGGTGACTACTCCTTGTTCTTTCTTGTAGCATCTTGTGATGTATGCAAGTTTCTTGCGTTTTGAGAAGAGAGACAACGCTGCCAAATAAAGGCTAAAAGAGTATTGAGTAAGGCAGTCGCATCTGAAATCACATACACAAGGAGTTTTTTTTTCTTTTAGAAATGGAATTCATTCATAGAATCAAAGTAGCGTATATAGAACGACACGAAACAGTGACCTAGTTAAAACATTGCTGAGGGACAAACTCCAGGATAGGAAAGAATACCACATATATCATTGACTAACAAGAGAGTCTGAAACAGTCACGCATGACCAATGCTAGAGCAAGATAAAATAAAACATCCAATTGACACATAGACCTCCGACGAGAACACTATAACACAATCCAATTGCCAAAAGAGTCATGCTATGAAATTATAGTCCTTTTGACGCAGTGAGATATCGGCCGGGATAGAGAGATCGAATGGTAACCCTACAAGTAACAATGTCGGAATCCACCAACAAACTGAAATCCACAAGAGAAATTGAGTAAACTTGAAATATATTGATTGAAAATAAGATGAATAAACTGACAAATACAATGCCATGAGTTGGCTTAAATATAAAACAAAGAAACCCTAAAACCGTAGGAAACCCTAGGTTCTAGCATATTCCTAAACTTACCTAACAAGAAAATAATAAAAATCATAGCTAAAATCATAATAAGAAAATAATATCTTAATAGATAACTTATTTTTCCAAATATAAAATAAAA